TAGATAAAAACAACCAAAAGATAAAAAGGAAAAAAAAAATAAATCAAATCGTAAGGGGTTTTGAATTAGATAAAATTGCAAAAATGGTCCCTATGCTTGGCAAATTTATGTGCTTTTGGTCCAAAATGAAACGTTGGTGCATCACTGGTCCAATTTCAGATACTTTGTATAGTTTTGGTCCCCATGGTTGGCATTTTTGTGTAGTTTTGGTCTATACCTCACCTAAAATGACCAATATACCCTTACATATTTCTTTTTTCATTTCTTTTATTTTATTTATTATTATTTCAATTAAAAGAAATGGAAAAAGAAATTACCACCCCACCCTACTCTTTCTTTCTCTCTCTCTCTCTCTCTCAACATAATCGATCTATCCTCTCCCTTTCTTCTACCAGTGCTCGGAAACTACCACCTACACCACCGTGGTTGCCCCTGCTTGTGCATAACATCCCCTTAGTAAACTCCGGTGATGATGGCTTGCGACCCATATGCAAAATCCAACGATGTGACCCAACTCCCACCGCTCATTCGTCTTCTACTGGATCTAAAAAGCATCATTTTCCGACAAAGACGAACAACTTCTCAGCCAAAGCTCAGCCTTCTCTGCCACCTGTAAATCCCCAATCGCCAACATCCAAATCTCTAGCTCTCACGGTTACCACCACCCACAACAAATCTTTACCTACACTGTTCACTATCGTCTCTTACATCTCTTCCTACTGAAGATTTGTGGTTTGTGTTGTTGCTTCCTTACCTACGATTAGGGGTTTGTGTTATGGCCATCTCCGACCCTCTCTCATATGCCGCCGCCATTTCTCAGATCTACGTCGCCAGCACTGTTTTCTCAAATTATACATCAACGCAAGAGAAGAAGGATCGTCACCCTCAACCATCTTCGCCTATGATTTCACCACTATGTTTATAGGGATGAATCTAAAAAACACTCCACTGCCATTATGTGTACAAGGGTGGTGGGATTGGGTTGCACGGAGAAAGAACAAAGAACGAGAGTTTATGTTCTTGATTGTGTGTATATAAGTGCTTGATTGTGTATCTCGAGTTTCCAGAGAGCGAACGAGCGAGAGAGAGAGAGAGAGAGATAGAGAGAGAGAGAGAGAAGTGTAGCAGTGGTCGCAGGTGAGGCGGGTGATGGGTGTACCATTGGTCGGAAGTGAGGCGTTGATCTTAGGGACGTTGACAGATGCATCCTTTTTTGAGCTTATTTGTTTGAATTTCCTCCCATTAATCTCCTTTCTACCAATGAGAACATTGATCGGTTCACATGAGAGAGAGTGTGTGTGTGATTTTGTATTTTCAATTAGTTAAAAATATTAATATAAATAAAAAAATGGAAAAACAAATTATAAGGGCATAATGGTCTTTTTAAGTAGATAAGGACCAAAAACGATAGAAAGATCCAATTTTGGACCAATGGTGCACCAACGTTTCGTTTTGGACCAAAAACACATAAATTTGACAAACACACGGACCATTTTTGCAATTTTGTCTTTGAATTATATAATATCAAGGAAGTATGCACAAAACAACTTAGATACAAAAGAAACTTTAAGTCTTTGAGGATTGGGTCGCTAAGCCACTCGCCACCAGGCATAAGCATGCTAAGCATGTGTTGCACCACTCCATGCCTTGAGAAAAGAGAGAGAAAATTGAATGATAGGTTTTGGTTGACTATTTTTTTTCTTTTAAATTAAAGTAAATCTATTAAACTAACACACTATCACTTTTTTTTTTCCAACTTAGATACTAACACCCCCATCAAAATATCTGGTGCCTAAAAGGTATCAATTTAACTCCAACATTTTTTTACTTTTGGTTGAGTAATAATAACTTAAAAAGGTAATATATTTTTTGATTTATACATATTTGGTTATTGAGTTTTTTTTTTCATTTACATTTACCATTTCAACTTGTTAAACTATACACATTCAGTTCTTATGACCGGCTACTCCAGGTTAGCCGGTAAAATGACTTAATAGGGTAATATATTTATCATTTTGTACACATTTAATCCTCAATATTTTTGTACACATTTAATCCTTAATATTTTTTTTCTGTAAAATAAGTCATTTTGTTTTTGTACTTATTCAGTATTTATGAATGATCTTTTTAGGTTTTTCTCATGACATTTTAAGTGGGACAATCATTAATGAGGTGTTTGGGGCTTTTGATGCTTATGTCCATCGCGAGCTCGACTACTTGGTTGTTTTTGTCATCTGTTATGAACGTTATAACTTCTTCATACGATCTCAGATTTTAACAATCTTTATATCCATGCGTTCGTATTTCAATCTACTACAACTTTCATTTAGATTACTCATGTTAAAAACTAATATATTTTTACTTACGATCTTTATATCCATACGTTTTTTATGAATGCATGTAGGGATTTTTTTTTTATATAAAATCGTAAGTAAAAATATATTACATTTTAACGAGAGTAATCATAACGAAAGTTATAGACTCAAAAAACGAAGTTGAAGGGGTATATGTGGACAAAAAAACTCACTGACCGAATATGTACAAATTGAAAAATATATTACCCTTTTAAGTCATTATCCATTTGGTTGACAATTCACTATTTATGTTCAACCTAAGGCTAAAGGGAGTGGTAACACTCCTAACACATTGTCACGTTAGATTTTTGAATGTCACTTTATTTTTAGCCATTTAGCACCTGGTCGTAGCATTTGGTAGGGAGTGGTAACACTCCTAACACTCTAGTTTTTTTTCTTTTTTCTAATTTAATTTAATTACTTTATTTTTAATATACAAATATTTTTTGTGCACAAATATTAAACAAATTTTATTTTTTTGCTTAATTTTTTATTTTGTTAGGAAAATCTAAAGTACATTCATCGAAACTGAACTTAGTCTAAACAAATCAAAGTTCTACCACATATATAGCAAAATGCATTTGGCGAGTTCTAATTTTCTACCTTTAATTTTAATTAAGAAACCAAAATATTATCACTTGGAGATTGAATTCAGGTAACATTTACAAATTGCAATGCATTTTGGAAATTTAAGGCAAATGCCCATTTCACAAGTCTATGGAGAAATATATTTGATATTCATCCTGCAGCCACAATAAAAGGATCAGTTAATAAAGTCAGCCCAACAATTTGCCAACGGTTGAGAAGCCCACTGAAGAATGTAGCCATGTTATGGATATAATTACCAACCTGCATTAATGATAATGGATAATGTTAAAGAAAATGTTACATATTAATTCCAATAAGCAAAACTTGATGAGAAAAGAACCTACTTTTTCACTAAGTGCAGACTGGATAAGCAATATATCACTTAATACTTGACTCACAATGTCGCCATTGTTGCCATATGTGTCGAAGAAACTCATATCTTGATTTAGAAGTACTTTAACATATCTAGACCTAATAACAGTTGTTTGCTTTTCTCCAGTAAGAATCCAACATGAAACCTCCGAATGGAAAAGTACAAAATGAGCATTGTGAAAATGATGGATAAATGGTAGTATATAAGAATATGTACCTATCCAACCAGCAGCAAAAACACCACCAACAATATAAAGAAGGGTCAGAGCAAGCTGCAGAAATCATGATAGTGTATGAATTTATGGTTTTATGATTATGATCTTATGAACAATTGATCTCATGAAGCAAATGGTTTCGAATCTCATTAGAAAATCATAATGCTTTAAAATTGTTCGGAAAGATTTGATGATAGGAGAAAATCTAATTACTAGATTCACAAATAGCAATATGGTTATTTTCAGAAAACAGCTTCGACAACCACCCAAAGAAAAAATATCATGAATTAAAGTCTTTATGCTACACATAGAGTAAATAAATGATATCTGAGGAATTTTATCGAGCACTTGGTATTTGTCCAAACACTATGGAAAGACAAAGGTAAATTGCAGAAATCAATCACATAAATCACAAAAATAGAGTATAGGAGTTGATAATTCATTGAAATATGAAGAACAAAAACAGAAACAATGGAGATGCATAATGGAATAGCAAAATAATCGAGATGTAAAAAAGATGAACAAAAACTCGGGATGAAAATCACAACGATGAAGGATTGAACACATTTATTCATCTCTCTCTAAGATGTTGACGAGGCTTCGATGTCGACCCCCTTGGTGCAAGCTAGGGCGGTGTTCAGCGCCCTTGGCGACCGATTATGAGCTCACTCGCTGTAGCCTAAGAGGTGTCATCACCAACATTTATTTATTTATTTTACTTTTGGTTGACACAACATTGTTGTACTTTTGGTTGCCATTCACCATTTATGTTCAACCTTCCCTTTTCACTCTCTCTCCATTCTCTCCCAACCTTTTTTTTTTTTTCCCTTTCACCCCTATCTTTTTGAACTTTAATTTCGTCATCGACATAAGTGTCTCGTATGTATACAAACCCTTCATTCTATCTTCGAGGTTCATCATTATTTAATCAATCGACTGCATCCGAGGAAATCAGTTAGATAAATCACACAACTCTCCCCTTTTCTCCCAAGAAATCACCAGTGGACCCTAATTCTCTATTTGATTCCGAGTATTTTCAACCGAAAACCAAATACCCAAACATATTTGAACTGAGAAATCATAAATCTTGAAATGAAAGGACCACGAGTATATCTAGAAACGGCATATGAAAACAAAATGGTATTACTACCTGGTAATACCGTATGATTTCTTTTCTTTATAAAGATGTTCATTGCATATAAGGTGTTTGACAAAACGCCTCGGCGAGTTCTCTCTAAAATATGGTATTCTCATGTTCTGAACAATATGTAATTTGATCTATTAATCCATGAACTTAGCGAGCCACATATGAATGTACCCATAGTTACCATGTAATTAAAATGAGCAGAAGATAAGTTCATCCTTCTTGTTTATAGCAAAACTTATTAATGTTTCAGGTGCGTGGGGGCATAAGGGCACATATTTTTGGCAATTGGCATCCCTCTTTCCCAAATTCTAAAGCCCTCTGCAAATGGCCCCTCGTGGGCTCAGGTCCTTCTTCAAGATATTGCTTGACCGTTCTGCCCCTCACCTTGTAATCATTTATTTCAAGTAATCCAATTTCTATTTTTCCTTTTCCTGTAATTTTCATTCTCATGCAATTTTGCAGGAATTGCCACCCGGATTTGTCCGCAAGCACTTGAAGAAGAAGATCCCTGAGAACCCAATACTCCTATCAAGAAATGGAGAGTATGAATGGAGATTGAAGATAAAAAAAGAAGGTGAAATCTACTGCTTTACCGATGGATGGAGCGACGTCGTTGAAGATAGCGACTTGGGATTTGGGGATTTTCTTGTGTTTTGGCTCGTTGATGAATCCACCTTCAAACTTTCAATTTTCAGTCCAAATGGGTGCGAAAAAAACTTCCCCTTAAAAATCCATGATGACACTGATGAAGAAGAAGAAGAAAAGGAAGAAGATAATTATGATGATGACGGTGGCAATGGAGTAGAATATGAGGAGGATGAGGATGACGATGGTGGTGATATTGATGGGGATGACGGGGATCCTTACTTTATGAAGATTATATCTAAAGACAAATATACTTTGGTAAGATAAAAGTATCATAAATAGATTTTTTATTCCAAAAATAAAATAATAATAATTATAAGTTTTGTTCGCATAAATTTGGTTACATCAGCGATTTCCGTTGGAATTTTCTCGGTTGACCGGACTAAAAGCAGGAAGAAGCATAAATATGAAGAATATTGAGGGAAAGGAGTGGCCCATGAAGTTATGTTTACAGGGCGGTATTAAATATACAAGATACTATTTATCAGGGGGTTGGAGTGAATTTAAGCGGGCTAATGAGTTATGTGAAGGAGATAAATGTGTGTTCAAGTTTCTCAAAAGGGAAGATAAGTTCTGTCTAGCAAAAGTCACCAAGAAAAGTGAAGTCTTGAAGAGGAGGTCGGGAAGGCAGCCGCCACGCGTGGTGGTGGAGCGGCCAGCAGGAAAAGCTCCGGCAGCTCAAGTTTCAATGAGATCGAGAGGGCGGCAGGTGGTGATGGGTTTAAAGGCGTGGTCCACGAAGTTGGATGGTAAAGCTCCGGTGGTTGAAGGATTGAAGAGGAAGAAAGGGCGGCCGCCACGTATGGAGGTACGTGTGGAGGTGGTGTTGGGTTTAAAGGTGTGCTCCACAGACGAGACGAAGTTCAGACCACGTGGAAGGCCATTTACGAAGAAACGGCTCAATGTTGATAAGTAATTTTGAAAAAAAATATTTAAAGTGGACTAACTTTTACGATGTAAACAAGGTCACAACTATGTAAAATGTTCCTTTTTAGAAACGTCACTCATCTGATTGTTTGTTTGTTTTTTTTTAAACGGCGAAATATATTAAATAAAACAAAAAACAAACCACACGTAGCAAGGAGCTAAGACGTGATTGTATTAAGGTGTGTCTTACAAAGGAAAATCAAAAGGATAATAACACCAATTCACCCGGTTTACACTTGTACCCCCACCCCTGTGTTTATGCCACAAGTTTGATAATGAAATCACATCGAGAGGGGTGGATATTTTTGAAGACCTTTGTAACACCCGCAAATTCGGTTTAGGCAAATTAGTTATTATAAGTCATAATAATGACTCTTTAAAAGGTATAAAATGTGTGACAAAGATTCTACACATATAAAAAACGTTAAAATCCGACTTATGAAAAATTTATGGTTATTCGAAGTTTCATGATTAAACCGATACGACTCCGCGTATCATAAAAATTGATATTTTGATAAATAAATTTTACTTAAGTAAACTAAACGAAAGTAGTAGTTGTTAAACCGAGAGTGTGCATATAAAGAACGTCTAAATCTGATTTTATTAAAGAAAGTTATAATTTTTCTAAGATTCAACGCAACAGTGTGCGCATTGGTATCGACTTTTAGATTGGTTGATTGTTAGCTTAAACAATCTGAACGAGAGTTGAATATCTCGTTAATAAGAGTTCGTCGATATAAGGAACATCGAGAACGGAGTTTGTATGTAGGAATTATGCTTTCTGTATCGATTTCTAACACAACCATAAAGTCTCAAACTTTAAGACTTTGGACGTCCAAAAAGTCCTTATTACATGTTCTTAATCCATTAAGACCTCCTATAAGCAACATGAAGCCAAACTAGCCAAAGGGACCTCATTTTTATAACTTAGAGCCCTTCCTAGGGTCTGAAAGGACAACTTAAAATGTCCAAGACAAATCATGCACAACTTTGGGACTTTTGGGACAAGAAGAGCACCAAAAAGCTATCAAAATAAGATCTATACAATACAAGCACAAAGGAATAAGCTTTTTACCTTATGGGGCTTCTAAATGACAAGATGATCCCAAATCTACAAGCTTGCTTCAGTCTCCAAATACCTTGATGCAACTTCTTCTTCTTCAACCACACAAGAAACACATTCTTAGCTCACACACACATACACACACCAAAGAGAAGCTATGGTTTGCCAAAAACGATCTCAGGACTTGGAGACTGAAAGTATTGGGGTAAAGGGTCCATAATGGGGTTTAAATACCCAACAAACCCTAAAAGTTAGGGTTGTACTCGGACATACATACACACTGCGTACATATGCGTACTCCCTACATACTAGGGCGCGCCCTAGTACGCCTAGCATACTCATATGTACGCCTAGCGTACCCCCTCCGATCAAAATTACCAATTTGCCCCTCAGGCCTCTTAGGGCTAAATTCCACCAAATTCAAAGACCAACATGACATATTAATTACCGAGGGAAGGATTTGAAAATACCTGGAATCACGGGATGTTACATTATAGTCATAAGTTGTTATTATGGACCTATAAATAAGACATATCAGTAATTCCAAGTCATTATACTGATTGATCTACTTACGTGTGAGGTGTTTAGAATGTTCATGTTGGCTTGGTTGTTGGATTTCAGAAAAGCTATTATGATGAAATAATCTTGCTGCCCAACCTGGCCGATCCTTCATTGATAGATCCTTCATTGATAGATCTTGACGTAGACATTGGGATTAATGAGGAATCTAGACTACCATTAGTCGCCATAATCATTAGACTAAGACTCTTTATTAATCATACTTAGGTCATGTTAAGGGAACATCTAAGGTGTTAGGTGAAACTCTGCCCAGATCACCAGTCACCCACCCAATTCAATTGAATGCATAGTTACTTTCAAACTTACACATAGATACAAGTATTCTAATTGCTTAAATGTTATGTGTGTTGTCTTGACGTGTTTAAAATATCTATACTTTATCATACTAAATAATAAGATTAGGTAGTAATGGGTTGTGTAAATAATAAACGAGAGGTCGTGCTAGTGCCGTGTGAGATAGTAGTTGTGATAGGTTAGTGAGAATTGTGCAAAATAATAAGCCGTGTCTATCCCAAGTACTAATGTACTGTCCTGCCTGCCATGTCTACACAAAGTACTATGATACTTTCGCGCTAAACCAAAGTACTATTGTACGGTCGCGCCTATCATGGATATCCAAAGTACTAATGTACTGATGTGTTGTCGTGTTTACCCAAAGTGATAGATTGTGAGCAATAGTTGGTTAGAGTTCGCACTCCTAGTGGGGGAGAGTTAGTGATCCAGGGCGAGAGGCAAAAGCACGGACCGACTTTCTGTTCAGCAACAAGGGCGATGCTCCACATTCAGCAAGGTTGCACATGATACGTTGCTTATGTCATGGATACCCGGTATAAGGGTAAGGCGACGGTTGATGATGTACCGGTAGTACGAGTGTACCCGTAGGAATTACATGGGATACCTCCGGAAAGACAAGTTGAGTTCCGGATTGACCTGGTCCTTAGTGTGGATTCGATAGCCAAGGCACCATATTAGTTGTCTATGCAGTGGCAAGAGCTGCTAAACAATGGTTTTATCAGGCCGAGCAATTCGCCATGGGGAGCCCCGATCCTTTTTGTGAAGAAGAAGGATGGGTCGCATCGCATGTTCATAGATTATCGGGAGCTGAACAAGGTAACGATGAAGAACCGTTACCCACTCCCGAGAATAGATGATTTGTTTGACCAGCTTCAGTGAGCATCTTGGTTCTCTAAGATTGATTTATGGTCCGGATATCACCAGATGCGAGTCAGAGATGATGATGTGCAAAAGACCGCTTTTAGGACCCGCTATGGTCATTATGAGTTCGTGGTGATGCCGTTTGGGCTCACCAATGCTCTAGCCACGTTCATGGACCTCATGAACCGTGTGTGCAGATTGATGTTTGATTGGTCTGTAATAGTATTCATTGATGACATCTTGGCTTACTCCAAGACTCAGGAGCAGCATGAGGAGCACCTGAGGGAGATGATGGAGACACACTGAGGATGGAGAGACTTTTTGCGAAGTTCTCCAAGTGTGAGTTCTGGTTGCGCGAGGTGCATTTTATTGGGCACCTTGTCAACCAGAATGGTATTTTGGTAGATTCGGCCAAGATAAAGGTTGTGATGCAGTGGGAGACTCTGAGGTCTCCAACTGAGATATGAAGTTTCCTGGGTCTGGAAGGGTATTACAGGAGATTTATCTAGGACTTCTCTAAAATAGTAGTTCCGTTGACCCGACTGACCAAGAAGTCGGTGGTTTTTTGTTGAGGTCCTGAGCAGCAGACAACCTTTGAGATGCTCAGGCAGCGATTATATGAGGCGTCGATTCTCACCCTGTCGGAGGGGGTAGATTACTTCATAGTCTACTGTGATGCTTTGATCACAGGCATGGGAGCAGTGTTGATGTAACGGGGTCATGTGATAGCTTATGCTTCGAGGTAGCCGAAGCCTCACGAGGCTAACTATCCGACGCATGATTTAGAGTTGAGCGATGTGGTGTTCGTCCTCAAGATTTGGCGGCATTACCTCTACGGGGTCCGGTGTACCATTTACACGGACCACAAGAGTTTGAGGTGTCTCATGGATCAACCAAATCTGAACATGAGGCAACATCAGTGGTTAGATGTGAAGGACTACGATTGTGAGATCCCTTACCACCTGGGCAAGGCCAACATAGTGGTTGACTCCATGAGCGGCAAGACGGTAGCGAACCCGATCCGAGACATCTGTATGAGGATAACAGTGATGACTCCATTGTTGGAGCAGATCCGTGAGGCGTAGGTCGAGGGCCTGAAGGAGGAGCATCGGAAGTGTGAGCGGATCATAGGCAAGGTGGCCTCTTTTGACTATGACAGCTGCGGATTGTTAACCCTGCATGGAAGGGTCTGGGTACCGTACTGGGCGGGGTACGACAGATATTGATGGACGAGGCCCATAAGTCTAGGTTCTCCATCCATCCAGGGGCGACAAAGATGTACAAAGATCTTTGACCCAATTACTGGTAGCCCTGCATGAAGTGGGATGTTGCTTGGTACGTAGAGAGATGTCTAACCTGTAGGAAGGTCAATGCGGAGCACCAGAGGCAACATGGAAAGATGCAACCGTTGGACATCCCCATATGGAAGTGGGAGGACATTACTATGCATTTTATCACTAGGCTTCCCAGGACTACACGTGGGGTCGATCCGATATGGGTCATTGTGGATCGGTTGACCAAGAACGCCCACTTCATACCGATCCAGGAAAGCATCTTGGTCGAGAAGTTAGCTGAGATCTATGTACGAGAGGTGGTGGCATGACATGGAGTACCTATCTCAGTAGTATTAGACCGAGATGTCCGTTTTACTTCCAAATTTTGGAAGCGGTTTCACGACGAGATGGGTACTCGTCTCCTTTTCAGCACCGCTTTCCACCTTCAGACGGACGGGCAGAGCAAGAGGATGATTCAGACTCTTGAGGACATGCTTCGAGCATGCGTGTTAGATTTCGGTGGCAGTTGGGATACGTATCTTTCGTTAGCAGAATTTTCGTATAACAATAGCTACAACTCCAGTATAGATCGGCCTCCCTTCGAGATGTTGTATGGGAGGAAGTTAAGGACCCCAATCTGTTGGGGTGAGGTCAGTCAGAGGGTCATGGGGAGTATGGATGTAGTACTCAAGACCACGGAGTGGATCCATCAGGTCCGGAGTAGGCTCTAGACTGCTCAGAGTCAGCATATGAGTTACGCCGACAGACGACGTTCGGATTTGGAGTTTCAGGTGGGCAACATGGTCCTCCTGAAAGTGTCACCTTGGAAGGGTGCTATCTAGTTTCGGAGGTGAGTGGGCAAGGTTGCATACCGATTGGATCTTCATGCCGAGCTAAGCTAGATCCACAACACTTTCG